TCGGTGACACACACTATCAGTAACACACACTATCAGTAATGCACACGCCATCAGTAACACTGCAAAGTCATGGAGAAGATTATCAGGAGAAGAGTGGTGGAACACCTAGAAAGGAATGATCTCATCAACAGCAGCCAACATGGTTTCAGGGACGGGAAATCCTGTGTCACAAACCTACAGGAGTTCTATGACATGGTGACAGCAGTAAGACAAGAGAGACAGGGGTGGGTGGATTGCATTTTCTTGGACTGCAAGAAGGCGTTGGACACAGTTCCACACAAGAGATTACTACAAAAACTGGAGGACCAAGCAGGGATAACAGGGAAGGCACTGCAATGGATCAGGGAATACTTGTCAGGAAGACAGCAGCGAATCATGGTACGTGGCGAGGTGTCAGAGTGGGCACCTGTGACCAGCGGGGTCCCACAGAGGTCAGTCCTAGGACCAGTGCTGTTTCTGGTATTTGTGAACGACATGACGGAAGGAATAGACTCCAAGGTGTCCCTGTTTGCAGAGGACGTGAAGTTGATGAGAAGAATTCATTCGATCGAAGACCAGGCAGAACTACAAAGGGATCTGGACAGGCTGCAGACCTGGTCCAGCAATTGGCTCCTGGAGTTCAATCCCACCAAGTGCAAAGTCATGAAGATTGGGGAAGAACAAAGAAGACCGCAGACGGAGTACAGTCTAGGAGGCCAGAGACTACAAACGTCACTCAAGGAAAAAGATCTTGGGGTGAGTATAACACCAGGCACATCTCCTGAAGCGCACATCAACCAAATAACGGCTGCAGCATATGGGCGCCTAGCAAATCTCAGAACATCATTACGACATCTTAATAAGGAATCGTTCAGGACCCTGTACACCGTGTACGTTAGGCCCATATTGGAGTATGCGGCACCAGTTAGGAACTCACACCTAGCCAAGCATGTAAAGAAACTAGAGAAAGTGCAAAGGTTTGCAACAAGACTAGTCCCAGAGCTAAGAGGTATGTCCTACGAGGAGAGGTTAGGGGAAATCAACCTGACGACACTGGAGGACAGGAGAGATAGGGGCGCCATGATAACGACATACAAAATACTGAGAGGAATTGACAAGGTGGACAAAGACAGGATGTTCCAGAGATTGGATACAGTAACAAGAGGACACAGTTGGAAATTGAGGACACAGATGAATCACAGGATGCTAGGAAGTATTTCTTCAGCCACAGAGTAGTCAGGAAGTGGAACAGTTTGGGAAGCGATGTAGTGGACGCAAGATCCATACATAGCTTTAAGCAGAGGTATGATGAAGCTCACGGTACAGGGAGAGTGACCTAGTAGCGACCAGTGAAGAGGCGGGGCCAGGAGCTTGGAATCGACCCCTGCAACCTCAACTAGGTGAGTACATATATTATCAATAACACACACTATCAGTAACATATTATCAGTAACACACACTATTAGTAACACACACTATCAGTAACACGCACTGTCAGTAATACACACACAATCAGTAACACACACTATCAGTAACACATACTATCAGTAACACACACTATCAGTAACACACACCATCAGTAACACATACTATCAGTAACACACACTATCAGTAACACACACCATCAGTAACACACTGACAGCTGAGGGTCATGAACCCTGGTCTGGAGAGTTCAATATCATACATAGAGCACTTAACACTTAGTAAGGGAGAGGAACTGGGAAGGAACTTAAATAATGGCGCCACATCGGTGCCACACACACACATCAGCGAATGCGTGCGCAGGCGCTAAGTTCAGACAAATTTGGAAAACCTGGAGCCACATGAGGGTCCCGAAACATGGAGAGCCAAGATGATGGATATGGTACAGGAAAACCTCATGCATCAACATGTTAGGGACACTACCAGAGAGAAAGTGTAGGATGGACCAGCAAGACTGGACCTCGTGCTCACCCTTAGCAGCTCAGACATTGAGGACATCACATATGAGAGGCCCCTTGGAGCTAGTGAACATGTGTTTCCGAGCTTTGAATACATAGTAGAGTTACAAGTGGAAATGGTAACAGGAGTAGAATAGAAAAAGTCAAACTATATAAGGGTTGACTACACAGGTATGGGGAACTTCCTGCAGGACGTTCAGTGGGACAGAGAATTGGTAGGAGAGTCAGTAAACGAGATGATGGAATATGTAACAAGAAAATGCAAGGAGGCAGAGGAAAGGTTTGTTCCCAAGGGCAACAGAAATAATAGGAAGACCAAAACGAGCCCTTGGTTTACCCGAAGGTGTAGGGAGGCAAAAACTAAGTGCACTAGAGAATGGAGAAAGTCCAGAAAGTACAAACGAGATTAGTCGAAGAGCCAGAAACGAGTATGCACAAGAAGGGAGGCCCATCGACAGTACGAAAACAATATAGCATCGAAAGTCAAGTCTGACCTGAAACTGCTGCATAGTCACATTAGAAGGAAAACAACAGTCAAAGATCAGGTAATCAGGCTGAGGAAAGAAGGTGGGGAGCTCACAAGAAACGATCAAGAGGTATGTGAGGAGCTCAACACGAGATTTATGAAGGTATTTACAATGGAGACAGAAAGGACTCTGGTAAGACAGAACGGAGGGGAACACCAACAAAGAATATACGAACAAGTGTTGGATGAAATACACTCAACTGAGGAGGGGTGAAGAAGCTCCTAAGTGACCTTGATTCCTTGAAAACTGTGGGATCGGACATCTCTCCGTGCGTCCTTGGAGAGACACTGTGTGCCACTAACCACAATTTTCAACACATCCGTTGAAACTGGGTAACTACCGGAGGTATGGAAGACGGCATATGTAGTCCCCATTTTTAAGGAAGGAGACAAAAATGAGTCACTAAACTATAGACTAGTATCACAGACGTGTATAGTATGTAAAGTCTTGGAGAAGATTATCAGGAGGAAAGTGATGGAGCACCTGGAACGGAACAAAATTATAAACGACAGACAGCACGAATTCATGGAAGGCATATCCTGTGTCACAAACCTTCTGGAGTTTTATGACAAGGTAACTGAAGTGAGACACGAGATAGACGGGTGGGTTGATTGCATTTTCTTGGTCTGCAAGAAGGCCACCGGCACAGTCCCTCACAAGAGATTAGTACAGAAGCTAGAGGATCATGTACGTATAACAGGAAGGGCACTGCAATGGATCAGAGAATAAGAACATAAGAACATAAGAAAGGAGGAACACTGCAGCAGGCCTGTTGGCCCATACTAGGCAGGTCCTTTACAATTCATCCCACTAACAAACATTTGACCTACCCAATTTTCAATGCTACCCAAGAAATAAGCTCTGATGTGGAAGTCCCACTCAAATCCAACCCATCCCACTCATGTATTTATCCAACCTAAATTTGAAACTACCCAAAGTCCTAGCCTCAATAACCCAACTAGGTAGACTGTTCCACTCATCTACTACCCTATTTCCAAACCAATACCTGGATAAGAAGGCAACATCGAGCTATGATACGTGAAGAGGTATCACAGTGGGTGCCTGTGACGAGCGGGGTCCCACAGGGGTCAGTCGTAAGTCCAGTGCTATTTTTGGTATATGTGAATGACATGATGGAAGGGATAGACTCAGAAGTGTCCCTGTTCGCAGATGATGTGAAGTTAATGAGCAGAATTAAATCAGATGAGGATACGTGGTCCAACAAATGTCTCCTAGAATTTAACCCCGCCAAATGCAAAATCATGAAGATCGGGGAAGGGCAAAGAAGACGGCAGACAGAGTATAGGCTAGGTGGCCAAAGACTGCAACCCTCACTCAAGGAGACAGATCTTGGGTGAGTACCGAGCACGTCTCCGGAAGCGCAGATCAACCAGATAACTGCTGCAGCATATGAGCGCCTGGCAAATCTGAGAATAGCATTCTGGCACATCAGTAAGGAATCGTTCAAGACTCTGTACACCGTGTACGTCAGGCCCATACTGGAGTATGCAGCACTAGTTTGGAACCCACACCTAGCCAAGCATGTAAAGAAACTAGAGAAAGTGCAAAGGTTTGCAACAAGGCTAGTTCCAGAGCTATGGGTTAAGGGAAATCGGTTTTACGACACTGGAGGACAGGAGGGTTAGGGGATACATGATAACGCAATTCAAAATACTGCGAGGAATGGGCAAGGTGGACAGAGACAGGATGTTCCAGAGATGGGACCCAGAAACAAGGGGTCACAACTGGAAGCTGAAGACTCGGAAGGGTTAAAGGGATGCTAGGAAGTATTTCTTCAGTCACATAGTTGTCAGGAAGTGGAATAGTCTGGCGAGTGATGTGTGAAGGCAGGAACCATACATAGTTTTAAGACGAGGTATGATGAAACTCATGGAGCTTCATCATACCTAATAACGATCAGTGAAGAGGCGGGGCCAGGAGCTGAGTCTCGACGCCTGCAACCACAAATTGGTGAGTACAAATAGTAGTACACAGACGGTAGGCGCTGTGCCTGCCTGTAGAGAAGCTTTAACTTGTCATATATTATTTCTCTTACATTCTTCACTATCAGTTCCTGTGACATGTTTGGATCAAGAGCACTTGGCAGATATTTCACTGAAGATATTCAAGTGATGGCTTCTCCGCTACTGTACATTAAAATCATTTTAATTTATTTTTCCTGCCATAGAGTATAATTGGCCATCTTCACACACCAGAAAGGAGACATTATATATAAATATGTAGTCAGAGAAACAGGTAGTCGCTCCTATCAATGACATAAGGGAACATAATTCTTTCGTTTTGTACATATCGCAACACTTATTCACTTATTCACCAGTGTAACATTGAAAATAATAGATGCCGGAAATCTTGAAGATACCGCTTACTGAGTACTTCCTTAGTAGTTATCGAGTACTTTCTTAGTAGTTACTGTGTACTTCCTGAGTACGCTTTTTCAAATAATTTCCTTAACATTATTTGAACCACAAACGGTAAATGTTCAGAACTCTCCAATTTACAGATGTATAAAATACATTTTTTGCTAACCCAACAGAAGTACATGGAAGATGTCCTGGAGGTACTGGATAGATCAGACCCACACAGGTGGACCGGGGTGAATGAGGTAACCAGAGCTAGAGCCTCCACTCTACTGCAGAAAAGTCTTACATTTGCTGCCCTCGCCCTCGCCTCCTTCCTCTCGAATTACACCGTTGACTACAACTCCACGACATCAGGTAAGATACACACACGCACACACACACAGAGAGCTAAGAGGTATGTCCTACGAGGAGAGGTTAAGGGAAATCAACCTGACGACACTGGAGGACAGGAGAGATAGGGGGGACATGATAACGACATACAAAATACTGAGAGGAATTGACAAGGTGGACAAAGACAGGATGTTCCAGAGATTGGACACAGTAACAAGGGGACACAGTTGGAAGTTGAAGACACAGATGAATCACAGGGATGTTAGGAAGAATTTCTTCAGCCACAGAGTAGTCAGGAAGTGGAATAGTTTGGGAAGCGATGTAGTGGAGGCAGGATCCATACATAGCTTTAAGCAGAGGTATGATAAAGCTCACGGTTCAGGGAGAGTGACCTAGTAGCGATCAGTGAAGAGGCAGGGCCAGGAGCTTGGACTCGACCCCTGCAACCTCAACTAGGTGAGTACAACTAGGTGAGTACACACACACACACGCACGTTGTGTGAGTTGTGTGTGTATTGTCGTTGGGGATGCCCAAGATCAATACGAAAATGACATAGCAGTGAAAGCCAAATATGACCCGAAGTCACATCAGGAGGAAAACAATAGTCAAGGACCTGGTAATCAGGCTGAGGAAGGAAGGAGGAGAGATCACAAGAAATGACTGAGAAGTATGTGAGGAGCTCAACATGAAATTCAAAGAAGTGTTCACAGAGGAGACAGAAGGGATTCCGAAAAGACGGAGAGGTGAGGCACACCTTCAAGTGTTAGACACAATACATACAACCGAGGAAGAAGTGAAGAGGCTACTAAGCGAGCTAGATACATCAAGGGCAATGGGGCCGGATAACATCTCTCCATGGGTCCTGAGAGAGGGAGCAGAGGTGCTATGTGTCACACATCTTTCGTAACAGGGCGACTACCTGAGGTATGGAAGACAACAAATGTAGTCCCATTTTTTAAAAAAAAAAGGAGACAGATGTGAAGCATTAAACTACTGACCAGTGTCATTAACATGTATAATGTGCAAAGTCAAGGAGAAGATTATCAGGAGAAGAGTGGTGGATCACCTAGTAAGGAATGAGCTTATCATCGGCAACCAACACGGTTTCAGGGACGGGAAATCCTGTGTCACAAACCTACTGGAGTTCTATGACAGGGTGACAGCAGTAAGACAAGAGAGAGAGAGGTTGGTAGATTGTATTTTCATGGACTGTAAGAAGGCTCTTGACACATTTCCACTGTGAAGGCTTACTCAGCCCTGTAACAACTTCAGACAGTATTACCAAAGCTGGCTCCTCCTCAGGAAAATTAATGAATAGAAAAAGAAATAATAATTCACAAAGATAAACACTTTATTATTTATTAATGCAAAGATAAAACATTGAAATACGAAGGTGTATCCTACTTGAAAAAAAAAGAAAAAATGAAAAAAAATTCCCATTTAAATTCAAGCTAATATGTAAATAAATGGGGCTTGGTGATGTTGACACGTCGGGGTAGAAATTGTAGCTGTTATGGATTGGGGGGGGGGGTCGCAGGTGTTGGTGAAAACCCCAACAGCTAGTTCTTCACAGAGTCTATACCCTTTGAAAGTCTGCCCAGAGAGGGGAAAGCAGGTCTTTACCACAAAGATGGGGGGTTGTTGTTGCTGTCGCCTCAGTTAATCAGGTAGGTAGATCCAAATGTGACGTCCCCAATTTTGCAAAAAGTCCTTCTCCTTAACACTTCTCGTTGGTTGGAGGTGCCCATCTGCTTCCCAAGCTGGAAAAAGAGAGACAGGTTCCCCTGCTTAAGAAATCACTCTCCTGATAAGTACAATACCAAAAAGATTTGGTGTTTATTAAACATCTAACATGGAGAAAAAGGCTGAAGGCAAGTTTTTATTGGTCAAAAGTGAGTTTAAACCAATAAGGTTCTGAATAGGGCGGCTTTTACTTACAGTTGGTGGGAGCTGTGAGTGAGTGATTATGTTTGGGGACCCCACACTCACTTTGGGGGTGGGGAGGGGGGGGGGGGATAGGGGGAGCTGACTTACCCACCTTAACAAGCAGCCGGCAAAAAACTATCGTTCCCAAATTTATGCTCGCTCCCCCCATTTTTTGAATTTTTCCCCTACTCCACACAAAGATTAATACAAAACCTGGAAGCCCAGGCGTTTAACAGGGAAGGCACTGCAGTGGTCGGGAAACCTGTCGGAAAGAAATCATGGTAGTGGCGAAGTGTCGGTGGGGCCTGTAACGAGCGGGTTTCCGAAGGGTCAGTCCGGACTGGGCTGTTTCTGGTGTTATAAACGTTTTAATGGGGGAAAAGACTCAGATGTGCCCCTTGTTTGTAGATGGTGTAAAGTTGATGGGAAAAATTCGTCGGCGGGGACCAGGGGGAAAAACTACAAGGGATCTGGCAGTCGTGCCTGGTCGGAAAACTGGCCCTAGTTCAACGCCACAAGTGCAAAGTCATAAACTGGGTAGGACAAAGAAGACGCAGATGGGTACAATCTAGAGGGCCAGAGACTTAAAATTTTCCAAAGGGAAAAAGAATTTTGGGGTGAGCATAACCCCGGCACATCTCGAAAAAAATAGATTAAAATTTCTCAATAAGGAATCATTCGGACACGTACACCGTGTATGTCAGGCCTATATTGGGTATAAGCCAATTTTAAACCCCACACCCACCCAAGCAAGAAAAGAAATTAGAAAAAGTGAAAAAGGTTTGAAACAAGATAGCCCCAGAGTTAGGGGCATATCCTACGAGGAAGGGTTAAGGGGAAATCGACCTGCCCGGGAGACTGGAGGCAGGAGGATAGGGATGTATGATAACGTTATAAAATATGGAGGAATTGACAAAATGGACGGAGGCAGGTATTCCAGAGTGGAAAGTAACAAAGGGGGAAAGATGGAAGTTGAAGTCTCGCTGAATCACAGGGATGTTAGGAAGTACTTTTCAGGTATAACAGGGAAAGGGATGAATGGATCAAAGAATACTTCTGAAGAATCAGGAGTCATGATGACGGGTGTCAGAGTGTGCGCCTGTGACGAGCGGGGTTCCACAAGGGTCAGTTTAGAACGGTGCTGTTTCTGGTATATGTGAAGACGTGAGGAAAGACTTAGAAGTATCCTTTTTTGCAGAATTTTAAATTAACGAGGGGAATTAGTCGGGAAAATAAGGGAGGATTCACAGGATCTGGACGGCTGCAGGGTGGTCCACAAATGGCTCTTGGAATTTAACCTTACCCAAATGCAATATCATGAAGTAGAGGAAGGGGAAAGAAGACAGAGACAGAGTACGTCTGGGGGGCCAATGATACAAAACCTCCTCAAAAAGAAAGTTTTTGGGGGTATATTATACCAATCTCCGAGGGGCAAATCACCTAAAAAAACTGTGCAGCACATGGGAAAAACGAACCAAGAAGAGCTTTCGAAAATCTCAGTAAAGAATCGTTTAACCCTTTAACCTTGTCTTAGGCCAAATTTGGATTTTATTCCATTTTTTAACCCCCCACTTGGGCCAAGTACGTCAGGGAAAAAAAACAAAGGGGAAAAGGTTTGCAACAAGTAGTCCCGACAAAGGGAATCTCCCAAAAGAAAAGTTAAGGAAATCTGCCTTTCGACACTGGAGGACAGGAGGTTTTGGGGAAAATGATAAGAAAATAAAATACTGCGAAGAATTGACAAGGTGGAAAAGCGGATGTTCCAGAGATGGGACCAGAAACAAGGGTTCCCGTTGGGGGAAACTGAAGATCAGAGGGTCAAAGGGGTGTTAGGAATATTTCTTCATCATAAAGTTGTAGGAAAGGAATATTTTGGGAAAAAACGTATGGATTTAGGAAACCTACATAGTTTAAGAGGAGGTTGTAAAGCCATTGGAAGGAGAGAGTGAATAGTGCGATGTGAAGAGGGAGACCTGGAATGTGACTCAACTTCTGCAACTACAAATAGGCGGGACTAAAACCCAACATCCTAAGATGAGTAGGTGATCTGAAAAATCGTTTGTTGTAAGGTGGACGTATCTAATGGCAGACAGAACCCCGGGACCAGGTGGAAAATGAAAAAGTTATCTGAAGAAAAATTACCGGGGTTGTTGGGGGTCCCAAAAGGATAATTTAAATTCAGTCGTGGGCGTGAGGTAGGTGCTGCAGCAAAAAGAGGAGGAGGAGAAGGAATTTCATGGACTTGGGTCTCTATGGTAATGTTTCTATTTTCCTTCTTATTTTTGTCCTTTCAAAAAAAAAAAAGGTACATGGAGGGGTAGCTCCTAGAAGGAATTAATTGTATATCCCACTCTCCACCCTAGAGGGCCCCTCAGTGCTGCCGGTAGTGCATAGGTGGCATGGAACCCGTGTCCAACCCTACCCTTCACACTGGTAAACTGGCAATCCAGGATAGCAACCTCACACCCACTGAGCCACCTCGGCGGACAAAAGAGAGAGCAGTCGGAAACCCACCACAAGGCCTTTCAGAACTAACAGACAGCCTCCAGAGATACGCCCATCAACCGGAGGCCACCGTAAGCGGCCCTCTGGGGCTCCAGAGGGTGGATCAGAGCATCCCCAAATGATATAGTTTCCACAGCATGCAACACCAACACTAAGGCTTCATTAGAATGGGACAGACAACTTTTCCCCAACCTAGGAGCTAGAATTTCGGAGGGTAGGAGCCCAGAAGGCCAAACTCAGCAATGGAAGGAGAGAGGAATGGTGGGATAGGAGAAAGGATAGAAAAGAAAGGATGGGGCAGGGAAGGGAGGCGTGAGGTGTAGTTAAGCTAGGACGGAGGAAGAAAACCAAAAGGTCCAGCTCCTCAACAAAGATTCTCTTCACCACAACAAGGAACCTCCCTCGAAGAGGTCAAGCTGTGAAGAATTCCCTGCATCTAGAGCTCAAGGTGTTGCTATGTCTGACAAAATTTGTATTGGACTCAAAATCCAATGGTTGGCAACACGTTTCCAGAACAAAGATTCCCAGATTTACACAAATTCTTTCATACACTAATTTTACAATACACACTAATTGAACCTCAATCCAAAACACTTTTTTTCAGAATCAAGCCGCTTGAATATTATTTTTATTATATTTCATGTATACTGGGTTATTTGTCAAATTGTTCATTTATGATACGACCTGTCACACAGGAAACTGTTTGATACGATCAGTCACATAGATATTTCTTTAATTATACGAGTCACATAGGTATTTTAAATGATACGGCCAATCATATACGCAATTTTAATGGTGCGACAAGTCACGTAAGTAATTTTTTTTTTAACTATATGACCAGTCACATGGGTATTTTAAATAATACGGCCAGTCACATTATTTTAAATAATACGGCCAGTCACATGTGTATTTTTAATGATGCTATTTGTCACATAGGTATTTCTAAAGCTATTTTTTTCCCCAGATTCACTTATTTTTTTTCCCCAGATTCACTTATTTCACGACAGAGTCCGAGTTACTTCACGGATTTGAACAGGAAATATCAACATTATAATTTTAATCACACCAGTATTGACCCTGCCAATCAATTCTACGAAAACTACATCGACCATGAGGGTTAGTGACGGTCGTTTTTCATTCTTTTTGAGAGCTCCACTGTGCTACCAACTCCGTCCCATGTAAGAAAACCTTCATAATGCTTCTTAAATTATCTTCAAAAAGTATATTATAAAAATAAATAATTTAACAGGAGATACACAAATAACCCGCACATAGAAGAGGAGCTTACGACGACGTTTCGGTCCGACTTGGACCATTTACAAAGTCCACACTAATCAGAAGTGGAGCAGGACGGCTATATATAGGCAGAAGAGGTAGTGGTGGGGTAGTAGTAGTAGTAGTGGTGGTGGTGGTAGTAGTAGTAGTACATAAGAACATAAGAACGTAAGAAAGGGGGAACACTGCAGTGGGCCTGTTGGCCCATACTAGGCGGGTCCTTTACAATTCATCCCACTAACAAAACATTAGGGGGTTTTAAAATTCAAAAAGTCGGACATGCCTGCAAAAATGTCACATTCAGGGTTTTAAATTGTTCCAAGTAGATAGAAGTATCGGGAAGGGGGGTGGGGTGGCATTGTATGTCCGAGATCGCTTAAACTGTTGCATAAAAAAGATAGACAAACTGAAGGATAACAAACTGAAGGAAAATAAGTCCCCCGGGATCTGATGAGTTGTTTTTCCAGGTACTTAAGAATGCAAGATGGAGCTTAGTCAGCCATTAACGAGTGTGTTTAATGGATCCATCCTTACCGGTGTTGTGCCAGAGTTGTGGAAGATGGCTAATGTGGTTCCTATATTCAAATCAGGGATAAGTCCGTTCCTTCAAATTACCGTCCAATAAGCCTGACATCTATAGTGGGCAAGTTATTAGAATCAATTATAGCTGACATTATTAGAAGTCACCTTGAAGAGCATAACTTGATAAATGAATCTCAGTATGGATTCACGAGAGGTCGTTCCTGCCTGACAAACTTACTGACGTTCTTCAATAGAACATTTGAGGCAGTTGACAGTGATAAGGAATATGATATTGTTTATTTGGATTTTAGTAAAGCCTTCGATAGAGTACCTCACAGGAGACTCTTGAAAAAAGTGGCAGCTCATGGTATAGGAGGTAAAGTTCTAGCATGGATAGAGGCATGGCTTACCAATAGAAAGCAGAGAGTTACCATTAATGGAGTGAAATCTGAATGGGGATTAGTCACTAGTGGCGTTCCACAAGGATCAGTTTTAGGCCCTCTCTTGTTCATAATTTACATTGGTATAAACCTTGGTAATAAATACCGACAAGTTGGTTTAGAAAGACACGTAAGCAAACACTATGACATATTTATTAGAAAACGTTTCGGTCCTGGGACCTTGATCACTTCTAACATACAGATGTATGTATAATGTTCGCCAAGACAGTAGTCCTGGCACGGGTCTCAATCTTGCGATGACCCGTCTCTGGCTCCCGAGGGGGAAAGCTTTCTACAATGATGCGACGTATGCTGCTCAAGCACTCTTTTGGTCAGTTCAACTGGTGCATCTCATAAGTGACAACACCATATGTACTCCTAACTGTGGACACTAGCGAGGAGGAGAATATGTCGTTATCACAGGTAACAGCTTGTCTGGTTCGTTGACCCCATGGTACACTAGTGTGGCCGCAGTCATCTCTGGGTCCTCTTCGGGAGGGAATATCATTCCTAGTTGCCTGTGGAGTGCCTCAGTAACTTCGCACTCCAGAAGATAGTGTGTTAGGGGCCGTTGGACAACGTGCTGACAGTACTGGCACATCTCCTCCTCAGCCTTGTCTACCATCATCTTGGCTGTGGGAAAGCCCAAACGAAGCCGATGGATGGCGGTACACTGCGCTCTGGACCAGCTTCTATCATATGGAGGGGGTTCTCACTGAGTCGCTGCTCGGTACCACTGTTGAGATGGGGTATCACCTAGGACCTCCCCCATAAGTTTCATGGCTCTCGCAGCCACCAGTTTGGTCTGTCGTAGGCTGATTGGGACAGTAATCCCAACATGTGGATAGTCTGTTGCTGCCTTGGCTGCATCATCTGTCGCCTCATTTCCCCGGATGCCAGCATGGCTGGGGATCCAGTTCAATGTCGATCTGTTACCCTGAACTTCTAAGGCTGCCATTATGCTCAGGATCGATGTGATGAGGTGAACATTGTCCTGCGGTTGAGGATGGGAGAGGGCATTGATTGCAGAGGTGGAATCAACATGCATGACAGGTCGGAGTCGATGTCGTAGGGCATGTGACAATGCCTGCTGAATCGCCACAAGCTCAGCTTGAAGGATTGTGCAGTGGTCAGGGAGTGTGTGACCATTGTGGTACAGTCCAGCTGCTGCTCTCTTCCTGTCAGGGTCGACAGAATCATCTGTGAAATACACTGCACATGGCGCCTCCCTCTGCCAGTGCCATGCTTGTCTCAGCATGATTGCTGCGGGTGTCTTGACTGCAGAGACGCTTAGAGATGGGTAGTTGCATGATGCAAACATCGGCTGGATCTGGGCACCAGGGAGGTGGTGGATGGTACCCAGCAACAGGAAGGTCACAACTCTTCTCAAGGAGTAGTTGTATAGGCAGCAGCTTCCGCCCAGCAGCACAAAACGAACGAATCCAGGAGTAGTCCGTGAAGAGTGTGGGATCTTGTGCCATGGTTGTCAATATCCGTCTCCTTAGTGGGGTACCTTGCTGCCGGTGCAGAATCGTGGCCACTTTGCAGGCGTTTATGTATCTTACTCTGTCAGCCAAGGAAGGAAGCCGGGCCTCAGATCTGAGACATACTGTGTTAGTCCAGATGGGGGCCCTAAGCATAGATCTTATCGCCTGATTTTGTATGACCTCCACCCTTTGCCTGCTCTGCGGGAAGAGATGAGCTAACGCTGGTGCACCGTAGTCAATGAGCGAGCGTATAGCTTGTATATAGTACAAGCGAAGTACGTCTTTGCTTGCCCCTGCACGGTGCCTAGTCATGGCTCTCATGGCGTTGAGTCTGAGTAGAGCACGTGACCTGACATACTCGGCCTGTTTCTGAAAAGTCAGCATTTTATCAATGTAGATTCCCAAGTACAGGTAGGAGCCTGTCCACTCAAGTTCTATATCCTGAATACGTAATCTATTCACAGGATCTGGTCCCTTGAACATCATTGCAAGAGATTTCTCGGCCGAGATCTTGAGGCCTAGTTCCTTGCAAGACTGCGTAATTAGGTCCAAAGCTCTCTGAGCCTGTCGTTCTAATTGCCTTTACCATTCACTACGAGTGCAAGATCATCAGCATAGCTGAGGAGCTGTGTACTACTATGAAAGGGAAGGCTCACAAGTTCCTGCATAAGGATGTTAAACAGGGTAGGACTGAGCCACACCTCCTTGTGGCGTACCGTTTTCCAGGGTTTTTAAAGGAAGAGTAGTGTCCTGAAAGTTGACACAGGCCTGCCTGCCCCTGAGTAGGACTCTATCCAGGCCAGGAGGCGTCCTTTGATTCCCTTCCGAGCTAGTATTGCCAGAATTGCTGTGGGACTGGCTAGCTCAAATGCCTTTTCAAGGGCGAGGTAGACGACGATACTAGGTTTTTTTGTTACTATCAGCAATCTGGCTTAGTAGAGTGGTTTATGCACTCTGCTGTACCCACTCCTTTGGTGAAGCCAAATATGTGATGATGAGAGGGTCCAAGTTTTTCCATAGGAGGCGGTTTAACACCATCCTCTCAGCAGTCTTGGCTAAGCAGCTGGTCAGCCCATATGGGTCTCATACTGCCTGGTCCTTGGGCTTTGAAATTGGTACATGGTAGCTTTCTTTCAAGCTGCTGGGAGTGTTCCTGGCCCTCCACGACTTGTTAATGGGCGTCTAGTATGGCCTCCCATCCACTCTGCCCAGCCCGTGCAATCATGGAGTATGTAACACCATCGATGCCCGGGGCAGTGTCACCTGTGTTCTTAATGGCACGTCGGAGTTCCAAGTCCGTAAGGTCTTCATCAGTCACATCTTCCGACTCACATACAGCTTGTATCGTTAGCTGGCGCTGTGGCAGAAGATCCGTCTGTATGTTCCGGATGTCCTGTGGGAGCTGAGTGGAGGCTCCCCTGAAAGTGAAAAGCTCCACTAGTTTCTCAGCTTCCTGGGATGGGTTCGGGTGTGCTGGTGGCCTCGGCTTGCTCTTGCCAGTTGCTATGTTGAGCTTTCCCCATATCTCAGATAAGGTGGTGTGATGCCCGAATGTTGAGCACCACTCCAGCCATTTCTCAGTTTTTACTCTGAGAGAGACTCTGCGGGCATGCTGCACAATGGCTCTCAGAGCATTCCTGTTCTCTGCCGTAGGGTTACGCCTGTATAGCTTCCTAAATGAGTTGATGCGGTGGTTCTGCTCCCGCACCTCGTCGTTGTAGAACCACCAGTCTCTTTTGTGAGTGCGTCCTGCAGACTTCTTTGGAATTGCGCACTCTGCTGCCTGGATGAGAACAGTGATTAGCTCCTGTTCAGCCGTATCAGTCTTCAGATAGAGAGTACGTGGGCCACCAGTCATGAAGATAATCCTGGAACACCTTCCAGTTAGCCCTCTTTACGTCCCATCTAGGAGGCAGCACAACAGTGGGAGGCCTGTTGATGTTGAGGGTAGTGATCACTGCAAAGTGGTCACTGACAAGGTGAGGATGAGTTTCCCATGTGGCTCCTGCTGCTAGTTGTCTTGACCCGAAGGTAAGGTCGAGGCAGCCACCCAACAGGTGTGTGGGGTCTCCATTGTTTAGGAATTTTACCTGTGGAATATGGTGCAGGAGCATTGCTACGTGTCTGCCAGCAGCATTGGTTGCTGAGTGAGAGTGCAGCATTGGGTGATGTGCGTTGAAATCTCCACCCACAATAATGCACTCAGTGAGTGCTAGTGCGAGGAGCTCTGCAATGTCGAGGGTGTGTCTTGAGTTCTTGTAGATGTTATAGATGGTAATGGGCGCCCCAGGTATGTGCACAAGGATGTCCTGTACCTCGACATCCTCCCCACAGTCCACAGGGTTGGCTATAACCTCGTGAGGTATTGTATTGGATACAAATACAGCTGTGC